AGGATGCTGCACTCAAGGAAGGCGGCACTTCGGAAATGCTTCTTTCAAACACGACAGAGGAATCTTGCATGCAGTTTTCCAAAAGTCTCAGAAGCAAAGATGTGACACAAACCTATTCCCATTCACTTGCATTTTTACTCCACTGCACAAAGCTTGCTTTTGTGTCTGAAAGGGAAGGATATGAAGGCATTTGGATAGGGAGGGAGCTTACAAAAAATGATCAAATTACACAGCATGCCCTATGAGCTATCAAAAGTGAAATGGCTCAACAGGATGCCACTCACAGGTGTTAACGTGCATTTTCCCCAACCACTGCACAGGATCTGTCAAATCCCACGTAATCATAAGTTTACCAAACAGACCAAGCTTCTCAGATTTCAGAATAAGCCAAGTACATCGATTATGCTACCAGTCAAACATGCACCACTGCAGCCTGAGGGGAGCATGAGCAAGGGACTGACTTCCACAGCATGAGATTCCCAGATGTATAAGTACTACAGTAATAGGCACTACAGAAACACCTAGACATAAATTCAACCGCCCTTATGTTAGCACACATAACAAGAAATGTTATTGTGGATCTCACAGCTTTCTTCTTGCTGCTATTCGGCATTTCAGTTATTTGTTCTCAGAGACAGCAAGAAGCAAGGCATATCCTCCCAGGAACAACAGTACTGTCACATTTCTTAGCTCTCAATTCTACTTCACCAAGAATGATACACAAATCCTACTGCATAACAAACAGGCTCAAATTTCTAACAGCGGAAATGGACATCTCAAGTGCCAGGACTCCTGAGGAGGCGGTCTTTCCATTTCAAATGAAATAAGCCTATGAGGTGCCACGTCACACAGAATTAGTCAGTCACCCAGGTCATCTCTCATTTTAGGATGTCATGTTTTAAATAAAGACAAAGTTTGGAAGTTCAAAAATAGAAAGCAGCTCTCGAAAGAAGAACCTATTCTTACAGCTCAGCCAACCAGGGGAAACATTCAAATAAAACCCCCAATCTAACCCCTCCCTCCCAGGGCTACTTGCACCATCCAAGTGGCTAGGAGCGGTTTAAATCTTCCCTGACACACAGCACACAAACAGACCATGTGAGGCTGCAGGTCTCTGGAAAGTCACACACACTGCTTTTCAAGCTGGCAGACACCCACCCAAACCCTGACATATTCCACAGGGATTCTAACGCCTCCTCCGCAGCAGACTTCAGCGGCATTAATGCATCCTATACCCAGAGGATGTGTATGCTGGTGAGGGAACATTTGGGAAAGAAAGAGCAGTAAGTCTAACATTTGCAAGTGTTGGCACCTAACTGTAGCACTCTGACACACTTGCCAAAACAGAAATTTAAGTGAATAGACGTACGCAGCCAAATTTGAAAATCCCCGTCTCAAATTCCACTGCCAAGCCACTGCTGTTGGATGGCCAGCTGAATTCCCTGAGTGAAACCAAGTGTGTAGGAGGGAAAGGTGCTTCATCCAGTTTCTAGTAGGGCAAGTGGCTACAAAAGTACCAACTATCCAGATTAGCTATGGAAACTGAAACCTCCTACCTCCTATCATAGGAAAGAGTATTTCCAAGGCCATCTAAGGTAGGCTGGCTAGTGGGCAGGGTACATAGGGCTTCTGCTTCTGCTGTACCTGCTCTGGAGATAAAAAGAAAACAACTGCAGCCTCTGAAGCAGTTAACTCAGTAGCTTCCTGTAGTTTGTTTTTTTTAAATCCCCCATGAGAAAAAAGATGGGCTGCTGGAAGTCAGTCTCTAGGATGCTGTTTATAGCCCCCACGTTCTGAAACCTTGGCTGCAGCTCTAAATAAACACACAGAAATGCTCTCTTCATTCCTAAGATGGGCACACTGCCCCTTTGCCACCAATCCCCCACGGGATATTCCAGGAACAGCATGGGAAGAGAGATCTCTTCAGCTTGGAAACAGGAAGGTGAGACATTGCTGTCATCAATTTGTGCTCTCAAATGCACCCCACCCTGTTGTACAGCACCTTCTGCTGACTGAGCTTTTAGGTGCTGCTAGGCTCCTTGCTGCTCCAGGAAGACAAAGAAATAACAAAATTATTGCAGTCCCTACTCAATGACAGATCTGAGTGGCCAGAGAGGTTAAGGCAATAGAAATCTAGCCATCATCTAGAGAACACTGGATGCTGCAGACAGAACGTGTTAGCTGTTATCTCCCCTTCAAATTTCCTGTAAACGATTCCTCTGAGGGGTTACAAAGGCATCATCACACCCAACTGCAAAGAGGTTCCCAGCCTGATCACTACACAACGCGCACTGTCCCTGGACACAGGTTGCTCTGTTGTCTTCTCAGACATTTTATTTGCATGGTAACAAACAGAAAGCCCCAGTGGACAAAGCACTGGCTTTCAAATAGAGGGACATAGCTAGAGAGAGGAGCTCTCTCTGAAATCACATCCCAACAGATATAGACTGGGGTTCTGGTACCATTCACATCCCAAGTGATGCCCACCTTACTCCTGAAGTTGTCTGAGGTCTTGCTGCAATGACTTCCAGGACACAGAACATGCCCCAGATCAGGTATCTGAAACCCTCACACCCAGCTTTTAGACAATGACAAGAAAAAGTTTTTCTACGTGGTATTTTCAGGCTCAACTGCTGTCACATTTTATGGCTCTTTAAGATAAATGATTTGTCTGACTGTCGTAATAAAATGGGTTAGTTCCAGATCCTTTTCACAGAGTCCCAAGTGCTCTGGAAGGGTTCATCCTCCTAAAAGGAAACTGCCTCTTCCAGTCCAAGAAAGAAGAAGCCTAGGAGTTCTGGGAGAAGACAAGAGGCTGGGATGTATGTAACACTTCAGACGAAAAAGACAGAGGGGCAAGACAGCACATTAAGCCACAAGCAGCAGAATACTGCTCCGCAGAATAGCCAGGCCTTCAGGACGCCGATGCAGTACAGTCAACACAGCCCTGAAAGGAGGTAGAGAATGGAAATAAAGTGCTTACATTTTGCTTTTTGACTAAAAGTCACAGGCAGGTGAGCAAACATCTAGCACCAGTAGGTCACATGTTACCCACCTCCCCCTGCACAAAACTGCTCCTACAGCACACTCTTCTGTCTAGTCTTAAAGCCTTGAAAGATTTGACGAGCATCCACAGCAAATGACTTTGAGACTGACAAATATGCTGAAAGATGCGCAATACCTGGACCATCAGACTTCACTGGGCAACCATGGCAAAGCTAGTCTGGTGGTTAAGGCACTGGATAGGGACTCGGGACCCCTGGATTCAATTCGCTACTCAGATAAATTCCTAAGTGAGTCACTTTACTCTGTCTGCTCCTCATCCATAAAATGGGGATATGCTCTGCTTTGCTGCTTTGGTTTATTGTAAGGTTTTCAGAGCGGGGGCTGTCTCTTCCTGCACTTGTTTATACAGTACTTAACCCATCAGGCTCAGCTGCTACCAAATAACAACGAAAAGCCCAAACACAATTTACTTCTCCTATGAGCCACTTCTGCTACTAGTAAAAAGGGCTGAACAGCTGAAAATAGAAATAAATGGTCCCCACTCCTGAGGGGAACACATGGGTGAAGAAAGGGGCCTATTTCCATTTGTCACAGCAAAGATAAACCAATTAAACAAGAGGATAAGTTCCCAAAAGAACCCCCCACTCTCCAGGAGAAAAGGGCAGAGAAAGGCAATTCTACTCAGCACAAGTATTTCAGTATTTTAAAATCTGGCTTCATTCCAATTAGGACCAAAAACTAACAATGCTCAAATTTTCCAAGAAGAATGGAATTCCAGCCCTAAGTGAGCTGACTTTAGGAGCTGCCCTAAAGCCAGGGAGCCCAGAAACTCAGGCGCCCCTGTAGTGTGTTAGATACACCAAAGAGCCAGGCAAGCTTCCAAAGTAAGTGTGGGTGGAACTTTGGCAAAGTTAAACCATCTCCGCAGGATATTATGATTGTGCCAAATCAGCAAATTCCAACAACCAGCACCACACACCAGTGCCAAGAAACCACATTCACATAGCTTGTGGTGGCTCAAACAAGCTTATCAATAAAAAGCAAAGCGAGTTGTAATAGCAACATCCTTTTGGCTGCTCAAAAAAACAACCCCACAAAGCCTGCAATTTACTCAGGACTCAAAAAGCCATTCAGAGACCTGAGGAGAAAATGTAAAGTAAAATAACATCTTCTCCCCAACCTACCCAGTTGGAAACTCTGAATGAGGAAGCAGTGCATCACTTACTGTGATGGCAACTACTCACCTTTGCATCTGACACAGAGACATTTCCCCAACAAACTTGCCAAATATCTGCTCAAGACTGATTACACTGTGTATCACACGCACGCACAAACTAAGTGGTCTTTGGAACTACCCCATGAGATCAGGCTAGCAATACATCCTGTCACCCCTGCTTGAGAAAGTGTAAGAAACCCTCTGGCAGGCTGTTATGGAATAGCCTCCACTCAGGGAAAAAGTCTCTACCCTCCTGTTGCTTAGCGCTTGGCTTGTTCCCTGTGTATTCCTTCTGAAACTGTATTTACCTATTTTTTTTTCATCTTTACTATATTAACTCTGGTTACCTACAATACTAATATAAACCATCTAGTCCATTTTTAGGAACCCTGCTAAGCTCCTGGCCTCATTGCTAGATGTCATTAAATCCCATGAGCTAATAAAGTAGTGCATGAAAAGATATTTCCTTTTGAAAGGCAGCAAATTCCAGGCTAGCAATTGCATTGACCATGCTCTTGTTCTCATATGAGAACAGGTGCTTCTCTTCACCTGAACTACCTTCTCTGTACTTCTATCAGGCATCCTTTCTTTCATCTTCTTGCCAAGGTAAACCACGCCACTCTTTTCACTCTCACTGTGGAAGTCCATACACACCTCTGATCATTTTCTTTATGCCTCTATGAGCCTCTTATTTTTGCCGCATCCCCTTGTCACAGAACTGAAGATGACAGATGCATATAACAGCACTCCACGTCCACTACTTCCTCAAGCATCCTACCTCCTGCTCTCTTCTACTGCTGGGTGCTGAGAGGTTTGCATGGAGCTGTCCACGAAAAGGATCAGGTCCTTTCCCAGAGTTAGTTAGAACCTAGTAAGGGGCATGAGTTTTTCAAATTATTTCTTCCACTGTGCATTACCTTGCATTTGCCAATACTAACTTTCAACTTACATAGTAACTGAAACCTAGCAACACCAAAGACATCCAAGTCAGACTGGTTACGTTAGAAAGGCACACATACAATATAGATGACACTATTTCCCTCACTGAGTGCCACTGATTGGACGTTGCACGCATGCAAAGGTTATTATATATAACATATACGCCAACATTATACAAGAATGCATGGTGCACTATACAGTGTACATGATAAAAGCCATAGACAGATGCTTTACATGCATTCATGCACATTACACATATGCTACGTTGTTCCAACTACACACCTCCTAGAACAGCTGTAACCCAAAACAGATACCTGACCAATAAACCTGGCTGCCTTGTTCTACTACCCCCTCAGCGCTGTCACGTTACATCAAACCATTCAGTACTTCTCCATAACATGCCATATCATCAGGTGCAATTCAGCACATCACTTGCATTGTGCTGCTCAGACCTTGATGCAGCGCAGCACCAAGCCACGATCTGCCACTCAGTGCTATGCAGCACCATGCCACGCCAGCCCACACAGCTTTCACTACTGCTTGATGCCACATCACACCACCCTGCATGCAATGTTGCTGTGCGCCATGCCAACTGGCACAATGCTGCATGGCACAGTGTCCCCCCTGCATCTCACAGCGGTAATGCCAGTTTATACGGTCTGCATCAGAAAGAGCAAGGGACAAGAGGCTGTCAAAGGATGATTATAAAAAACCTCAAAGTGAAGGAAGCTCGTCCATTTCGGGGTCGAGACAGTTCTCCACATTATTCCAAAGTCATCCGAGGGCAGCTACAGACGCACCTTTACAGACTAACTACATAGGGGAAAGAGAGAGAGAGAGAGAGAGAGAGAGCACAAGCGTTCATGAACCCGAGGTCTTTTCAGTGTCAGGGCTGCTGGTGCCAGAGCACTGACAGTGCCAGGGTCTGAAAGAGCCCATACTCCCCACTGAGCCCGGACAAGGGCAAGTCTCCGTACTATGCACTTCAAGAGAAAATGCTGCACTGAGAAACGTGGCACACTGAATACTGGCACATGCCACAAACCTCACTGCCTTGTGGCGCAAAGTGGCACCACACCTGGCCCTGCTGCTTGGCGCCACGACACAGTATGCAACCCCCCCACGCCATGCAGTACCTACAAGGGCCATACAGTGCCCCACCACTGCTGGGGGCCATGTCATGCCAGCCAGTGCCACATGCTACTGAGCGGCACCAAGCCCAGAGCCACGTTGCCCCGCTCAGTGCACACGGGCTGGGGCCACCCCAAGCCCAGGGGTTCCAGGTCCACTGCACCCTGCTGGGCGCACCCGGTGTCAGGACCTCAACCCATGCAGTGACACACTGACGTCACGCCCCGCTGACATCATGCACACAGTGCCATCCCCACCCCCAGCGCCCCCCGTGGGGGACCCCGGCCCCCGCCTCACCGCGCGGCTCCCCTGGGCGGGGAGGGGCGCTGGGCCGGGACGGGCGCGGCCCTCAGGGGCCCA